AAGTGTAAGAATTGGGAGAGAAGAGATATAAGCAACATTTACTTGACATAGGATTCTTTTAAGTTTCCTAGGTATGCATGTTTCCTAGGTATTCAAGTACAAGAATTCAATAAAGCAATAATAAAAAATAATTTATAGTTATGTCATATATGCAAACACCAACCAGTTCATTAAAAATTATAATACTCCGTAATAGCAACAAAACAGAAAATGCAAAAATAAAAACAAAATAGAAAAGAATTAATGTGTGTTTAAAACCAAGATAAGGAAATTTAAAGCATCCCTTAAAGACACAAAAATACGTTGGATCAAATATGAATATATACTTTCAGTCAGGACCTAATCAGGAAAATGGAATACACATTATATATTTTTTTTATTATTTTTTCAAGATTTTGAGAGAGAGAGAGCACAAAGGGAGAGAGGGAGAAGCAGACTCCACTGAGCAGAGAGCCGAGGACCCTGAGATCATTACCTGAGCTGAAGGCAGATGCCACCCAGATGCCCCACATTATATATTTTAAAAAGAAAAAATTTACTATAGGGAACTGGTTACATGGGCACTGGAAGGCAGAAAAAGTAAAAACACTGATGCAGCTCATACTGTAGGAAGATGCTACCACACCCAAGGCTAAGGTTGCAAAAGGTGAAGTTATCTAAACCTCATCTTAAAGGAGGAGGAGCCTACGGAGCTCTTGTTCAGACCTCTGCGGGTAATCCCCACCCCATCGCACTCCTACTGCTACTGTTTCTGAGGGAGTATAATGAGCCTGGTTCTGGGTATGCCCAAAGACCTTGGACTGCTGTAGTCAGGTGCCAACCACAGCTGCTGGCGATGACTACCATTTGCAGAAACAATGCTGAGAGATGAAAACCCAAATCCTTCACCCTGCCATCCTCCACTAAGGCAGAACCTAACAAGCCAGTAGCCAGAGTCTGGGGAAAGAGGTTTGTGAAACCGGAGACCTAGCATCATAGAGCATAAAAGGGCAAATTTTGAGTTGAGAGAAATCAGCTAAATAGTAGGTCCAGAAGACCCTTTTGGCTATTTAGTATACACATTTGAACTTGCATAAAATGACATTAACTATTTTTCATGGTTCCATCCAATAAAGTAGAACTATCCTTTATACAAATGAAGGCACTTTTATCCTCTCCCCTGAAAGGAAGAAGCAAAATCCCAACAGTAATTGTGTCTATCTCTGGGTGATGTTAAGACCTTTCCTAATGATATCACAATTCCTTAAGAACTTGATGTTTAAAACAACATATACCCTGAGATCAAGAGTTGCATGCTCATACCAACTACACCAACCAGGCATCCCTAAACTACAAAGTTTATTTCTGGACATAAAACAGGCATCCCCCAGAGAATTCCCTGGATACCACATCTAGCCCTCTCTGCACCTGTTTTGCAGCAACCAATTTTCCCTTGGTACTCAGTTCAGGGAGTACCTACTTGTTTGCTTGCTGGGTCAGCAGCCGGAGAATGTCAAATGGCCAGATGGTAGTCTCACATTCTTAGTTATTATGTCCCCTGGTGCAAGCATACTATCTCTGATGTTGGCTACCAAATAGCACAGCCACTGTGAACACTAAATTAATGCAGGGACAACAGTAAGTGACAGCTAACATCTGTAGGGAAGAGGTGAGGTGATTAGAACTTGAAACTTGGGAGAAAATGCCCCCAGAACTGCCACCTTGCTTTTAAGAAAGGGTGCCACTTTCCTGTGGACATCAAGGCAGGCTTCACATAGTGATGGTTGAGATGGTTTTTTTAAAGGATGAGTCAAGTTTACTAGGCAGTCCATTTAACCCATACACACTATATTATAACAGGCCTGGTCATTTAGAAATAGTTACATGGTCTACCACTTTAACACCACATTAAAAGTGTGAGTTATGTCAAAACATGAATGCTATAATGTGGCCAAAATAGAACTAGGAAGATTGAAAGCCATCCTTTCCTACTTCTGCTATGTTGGTTTACAGGACAGACACTGTCTGATAGTTTCTCTGACCAGAACAGCACACATTTATCAAATGAAACAGTGTACCAACTTAGGCATCACCATCCTCTCTGGGCAAAGTCATCAGAATCCTTATAAAGGGATCAACTTTGGTACTTCACACTATTCCTGAAGCAGGGCAGTATGGCTCTGATTCACTGAGAAGTCTGTGGATCATATCTGGGTGCAAGATCTCTCTCTCTCTCTCTTTTTTAACATACATACATTCATTCATTCATTTATTTGAGAGAAAGAGTGAGAGCACAAGCTGGAGGAGTGGCAGGCAGAGGGCGAAGCAGGCTTCCTGCTGAGAAGGGAGCCCAATGTGGGACTCAATCCCAGGACCCTGGGATCATGACCTGAGCCAAGGGCAAACACTTAACTGACTAAGCTACCCAGGCACCCCTCCTCTTTCCTTTTTTTTTTTTTTTATTAAGTGCTGTCCCTATTTTCTACAACGTAAGAGTGCATTTTTCCTGAAGTTGCGGAAGTTATTTGAACACTAAAAGGGAAGTGGGTGGTAGTGAGGACAAAACACAGGAAGGACTCTTTAGGAGCAGAGACAAATGTAGCAACAATAATTTTCTGTTATGAGGAACTTATTTTGGGGTCTGTGGGCAGAATGCAGTGCACAATTGATGCAGTAATCCTGAAAAGGGGACTGGGGGCTGATAGACTGCAGAGGTCTGGCTTTGAAGCAGCTGGGAAGGCAAATACCCACAGATATACTTGAAAATACATTTGCTTCATTACACAGCAGTACAGAAAAGAACAGCTCAGCTTCACCCAAGTGAAGAACAGAGAACATGAGAAATTCAGCTGCAGAGACAGAGGGGAAGAGGCAGTGAAGTGAGAACAAGCTGATGATATTTAATTTAAAAAAAACCTTAACTCTGGTGAACAGTTCTAACATCAAGCCCTCTCAAGTGAATCTGCTGATGCACAGATCTTAAAGCGAGGAAGGGCAAAACTCCAGTGGGGCTCAAAACCACAGCCCTGGAGAGACCAGTTTAAGATGATCAACGCCATGATGCTTGGGTACCAACTATGCTTATCCTCTGACTTGACAGGAGATTCAAAGTGCAAAGCAGATGAAAAAGTGGAAAGAGAGGCTTGAGAAAAAGTATTATTCTGCAGAAATTCAAGATGACTACCAGCCGGTCACTCAACAGGAATTTCGAGAGTAAGTATATGTTCTAACCAGGGTACCGTGGGATATCCTGATATAGGGACTGAGGCCATGAGTTACGTTTTTTTTCCCCTAAAACTAGACCTTACCGAGATGGCACCGCTTTTCTCATCTTTTTATCTAACTTTGAAATTAAACAGAAAACCCAAGACTCTATTTGTTTAAATTTAAGGTGAGAGTGAAACCAATTGTTTTTATCCTTATTATCTCCAAACAGGTACTGCCATTTATATTTGATATGCATAGCAAACACTGTTCTCCAATTTTAGAATAAAAGATCCAAACTTGGCCACACTAGACATGTTTTAGAAGCTTGAAATACTATCCTCCCACTCCCAAGTACTTCACGAATAACCTGCTGACTCTTTAGGCACAAAGTTATGTTACTCATTCTCTGCTTCCTTCTAAATTATTCTCTAGACTCTTTTTATATGCCGTGGAGCTGGAGAAAGAATTACACTATGTCAGTCTAAAACTAAACCGAGTGATGAGAAAGATTTCAACTCTACCAGCTTGAGAGAAGTGCAGGTGAGAACCTCTGATATGATCACTGAGCTTTTTTTTTTTTTTTTTGATCATTGAGAATTTCTAACAAAAATTTATCCTTGTGCTATTTACTAAACATGTCCCCATTACAGGTACATTTTAAAAAACACTACACCACCTATCAGCAAACTATCATCAGAGTCTATGATAATCTCAGAAGATTTCTAGAAATTAAGTACCCCTGAATGGGACCTACCATACAAGCCATGTGTATTACAGCACATGTCCAGAGTATACACACAGTTAGACATGAAGGATTTTATTAGATTCATTAAATTCTAGCAATGTGAAGATAAAGTACAAAATGCTGCTGCTTATGGTTCATGGGGAAGATCTCTAATTAACAGGTGACTAAGTAGGTAAAGACAGTTTTCCCAGTGTTACCTAGAATATAGAAACTGTTGATTTTTTTCATCACATACCGGGTTCTAACTTCTTCTGGCTACAGATAAATTAATAAATACTTAGGATTTTGGAAAACCATTAATGTAAGACCCCAAATAAAATAATCTTACCTCCACTCTTCCCAGTTTGAGGTCACCTAGAAAAAGCTAAAATGTAGAAGACCAATCATCTACAAATATTTCACTAGTATTTTCAAACTGGAAATTCATCCAGAAAGTTCCTAAAGTAACTCATTTAAAGTTTTTTAAAAGTTTTCCTCAACCACTCTAAAAAGCAAAATATACTTTGAAAAATAAAGAGCAAGGTAGGAGTATCAGCGTTATGAGAAGTCAACTTAATGTATGAGAAGGAGGAATGAGGGTACTGCAAAAAGCCCTGTCTGGGTGGTTGGCAAGTTGTGTGAAGTTAACTCTTTTAATTTCTTTAGTGGGTTACACAAGCCCTCCTAAAAGAGCCGTATGTTCTCTTAGCCCAAACAACATCATCTGACCATAGTACTCAACTTCCACATTGATGCTCAATAGATGTTAAATCCACCCCCTCCCTCAGGCCAGCCTCTTCTCTGAGAAAACTGTACCTTAAGTTTGCTCAGTAGGATAATTCACTGCAACAAGAAATGCTGAGTGTTCTCCCTGCTTATCTTCTCCCTAGATTTCCACACAGCAATCAACAACATAGCCTTTCCTTGTCTTACCAATCCCCAGAGCTGTAGCCAGTCAAGTGGTTTAGCAACCCTGTTGTCCCCCAATATGGTCCCTCGCTGAGGTAACTCAAAGCCTAAGAACATTAAGGCAAGGAAAAACTTAAGGTCTTTTTAACATCTAGTGAAAACAAAACAAAAAACATTTACATGACTTGGAACATTCAGGTTCTTTTATTACAAAAGTCTATACAATGAAGTGCCAGACACAGCAATGCAATTATATTGGTGGTCATATATATCTATATATTACTTGTATATAGATATAGTTTTTACTTGTACCAAAGTAAAACTATCACAAACTGACTAATTCTACCACCTACTGCTCAACTATGACACACAACACTGTCACATAGCATGTAAGTGCTGCCGTGCCACTTGGATCTATTCTACCTGCAGCCAAACATGAACAGTGAGTAACCAACACCATGAAGCAGCTGTTAATTCTAAAATGAAACCAGTCAGGCCATTGACTTATAAAAATATGGTACTCATATAGATTTTAGCATTATAAAGAAGGAATATATTATTTAAAACATTTAAATAGTGCATATGGACATTTTTGCATGTGGTATATAAAACATTCATATAAAACAATATACAGTGCACATTAAATTCGATGTTTGGATATACTCCCTTCTAGAGACTGAAAGAAATTAAATGCACACTGCATGCTGGATTCAAATCAAAGTGATACTTCTTTTGGCATTTTCAATTTCATTTTTTCTAGGTACACATTATGAATAACCTAGCTGTATCAAAAGGAAACCACACGAAAAGGGCTGGATTTAGTGCTTTATTCCCCAACTACATGTTCACCACCAATGAACATTCCCTCCCCCACCCCCCCAAAAAGGCATTGCACACACAGGTGAAATGTGAAATCCTAGACACACTACTTATTATCAAGCTACTTCATGTGCTTACTATGTAAGAGTGCCAGAAGTCTGAGGTTCATGCTTCCCTCACTTGATTAAAGAATGTCACAGAATTCCCCATTTTTATATGGAACTGTTAATATCAGCTAGTTAAGAAAACCATGCATGAGTCAATGCATGCAAAACATGGGCACAAAGTGAGACACTCATCAATCCAAAAAAGCACCAGGAAAAAAATTAACACTTACATTAAGCCTGACCAGAATATGCTGTTATTGACTATATTCTTAGCTCAAATAAAGTCACCAATCTGTGAAAATGATTAGCAGAATGATACCAGAAGAGTACTTGAAGAAAAGCCATGCAAAGCCAAAGAAAAAAAAGATAAGCTTAAGAGTATATGACAAGGGGCATACCACTACAGAACTGCTTTAAACAGCATGTGACTGAGCAAAAAGGGTCCTGTCAGAGGGTGTTTTCTTTACAGATTTTTCTGATTAAAAAAGAAAAAAAGATGCAACCCCCAGAAGGTACACGTACAAGTGCAGTGGTATAGCTCTTGTGAAGAAAAGATTTAATTCAGGCATAATGATTCTTTCGTCAACTTAGGCCCATCTAATTGAACACACAAATCTGAGCACCATCCGTGTTCCTACATAGACATGGCTATTTTCTCACATTATCTGGAGGTGGGTAGGGGGAAAAAAATACAGGATCTGATCCAAACAAATCACACCATCACCAGCTAATAAACAGTAACTGAGGAAACAAACAGAAACTTATGTCCCGTAGGCAGCATGTGATATGATTCAGTTCTGTGTAGGATGTGTGGTGTGTGTTTTCACTATACTATTAAACAAGGTCACTTTTTGGTCTGCCCTCTGTTATCTTCATCCAGGAGCTGTGTGACCACTGAATTGCAAAATTTTGCTAACATACTACCTGTGAGAAAGTGTCACTTTGGAAATTAAACAGAAATGTGTTCCACAGTAGGACTTGAAATTTCAGTTGATTTTGGTTTTCTAAGAAAACATAGGACATAGTTGCATATGTGCACATTTATAGGCTTTTCTTTCAAATTTTCAGTCATTCTGTAAGAAAAAGGCAACCGAAGAATTCAATGTGAAGATGTTCCTCTCAATTTTCTTCAGTAATTAAAAAAATAATAAAAATAAAGTTGGTGATAACAAAAAGCTCGTATCTCCAAAGTTCTTGAAGTTGAAAGAATAAAGTACTAGTCTTGCTAACAGGGTGTATCTGTAGTACTACAAAACAATGAAGAAAACTGGATGTTTGCTAAAGGTGGAGAGAACAGTCTGTGGTTAATATGGAACACCACGCTCCCTAGAGAGGGTCTACTTACCCTCCCATCTTTCTCTAGTGGCACCACAACCAAGTACAAAATGATACTCTCGGAGTGCCTGACAAAATGAACTCAAGTACCAGCCAACACACGATGATAGCTTCAGGGAATACAACTGATTTTTATGGTGTTTTCAAGGAGCATATTTTTATATAGATTTTGAAGAATCTTGTTTGCTGATAAGAACTTCAAGAAGCCTGAGTTTGGCTTTAATTTTCTTGTACTCCTTGTACTCCTCAAGCACTGGAACACGATCTTCTTTCTGGGCATTCCTAGGGTAGAAAGTAAAATCTATAATATTCTAGAAATCATCTGAAAAATAAAGTCCCAGAAGTTATCCTAATGTTAGAGACAATGTTACCAAATGTGAATTCAAATAAAAAAATTCCTCTGCAAGAAAGAACTAGCTCCCCCCATCTGCAAGGAATATTCCTAAAATACTTCTGTTTTTGATGAATTTCTCTATTGACAGATTAAATAATGCTAAACTTAATGATCACTGCAGAGAACTAGGAAGTAACCAAATATTTTAGTAAGATACACACTGCTAGACTCTGTCAGGTCACTGAGTGTATATTAAGTGGCAGAGGAGTATAGCCAGCCATTTCGTACATTTAGAAGGTACTTGAAAAATGCATTCTTACACTTAGATTTTTTTTTTTCCGTTTTTGCCAACTATATAGAAGACTCTCAAAGTAAATAAATAAATTTTGGAATTTTTGACATAGCTACTGGCTTGGTAAGACTACCTAGTTACATACATGGAAAAACTTTTCTGAGGTCTAAGAGAATGCTCATTTCTGGCCACCATCTGAATTAGAATTTATTCTCCCTTAAAAAAAAAAAAAAAAAAAAAAAAAAAAAAAAAAAAAAAGCCCTTTTTTTTTTTTTTAAGATTTTATTTATTTGACAGAGAGAGAAAGAGCACAAGCAGAGGGAGCAGCAGGCAGAGTGAGAGAAGCAGGCTCCCTGCTGAGCAGAAAGCCCGATGCAGAACTCAAACCCAGAACCCTGGGATCCCAACCTGAGCCGAAGGCAGCCGCTCAACCGACTGAGCCACCCAGACGTCCCTGTTTTTCTTCCTTTTTTAAAAGAGTTCCACTGGGTCAGCTATGCCCGAGTTAGATAAAAGCACATGCCATATTATATTTTAGAAGCCCACTGTTGATTACCACCCTGTTATACATCTTAAAAAAGGGAAGCCTGGAATGGCCCAACATGCAGCCTAAGCAGCAACGGTCTCTGTCTAAGAATCCACACTAGCTGTGAGAATACCAGTCATATTATAGGACCCTTTCTAAAAGGAAAAACAGGAGCGCCTGGGTGGTTCAGTTGGTTAATCATCTAACTCTTGATTTTGGCTCAGGTTGTGACCTCAGGTTCGTGAGATCAAGCCCCACATTGGGCTCCATGCTCAGCAGGGAGCCTGCTTGGAATCTGCTTGAGATTCTCTCTCTCTCCCTCTGCCCCTCCCCCTTCTCTTTCTAAAATAAATAAATAAATCTTTAAAAAGAACAAAAAACAAAAATAAAAGGAACAAATCTTAATTCACAAATACTTCAAAAAGGTGAGAATGTAGACTTCAAAAACACAATGTAACTGCCATTCAACCAAGCCTCCTAGGACATCTGAAATATTCTATCAGATGTTGCTTACTCTATCTCTGACTTCTTGCCATTAATAGCAGAACTTCAAAGTAAAAAGGTATGTTTTCTACTTTTATTTTCAATGGTAATATCCTTATATGCACAATTCACTTCTATTTCTATACATCCCTTTAATTTAGCATATGGGCACCTGTAAGTTCAAGGAAAAAGAAGACTCAATTTTTGTGATGTTCAACAAACCTTCCATTCTGTTGATAAAATGCTTCTTCAAATTCCCGTAATGTTTTGCGTAGTTTCTTTTTTTCAGCTCTGGCTTTCCAAAGTTGTTCCAATAACTCAGGCCTAAAATTTAAATGGGGAAAAAAAACATTATTCAAAGAACACTGTGATTCTTAGCAGGGGTTCAAACCCTGGCTGCAAACTAAAGTCAGTGTGGAGCATTTAGAATATCCCAATGCCTAATCTACAGCCAAGACCAACTAAATGTAGGAATAGCTGCAAGTAGGGCTCTACATCAATACTGGAGGGGGGGGGGGGATTTTTCCCAGGTGATCTTAAAGTGAAACCAAGGCTACTATGGAAAACAATATGAGGTTGCTCAAAAAATTAAAAACAGAAATACTGCATGATCCAGTATTTCCACTACTGGGTATTTACCCAAGGAAAACAAAAACATTAACTCGAAAAGATGTATGTACCCCTATGTTTACTGCATCATTATTTACAACAGCCAAGATATGGAAGCAGCCCAAGTGTCCATCAAAAGATGAATGGATAAAGAAGATGTGGTATGTGTATGCATGCCCACACACACATGGAATATTACTTGGCCATAAAAAAGAATGAAATCTTGCCATTTCTAACAAGGAGGAACCTAGAGGGTATAAAGCGAAATGATTTAAGCCAGAGCGAGAAAAACAAATTCCCTATGATTTCACTTATATGTGGAATTCAGAAAACAAAACGATAACAGTTTCATGAATACAGGGAACACACTGGGTGGCTGAGAGGAACGGAGCTGGGCTGGGGTTAGGTAAAATAGGTGAAAGGGATTAGGAGGCACAAACTTCCAATTATAAGTAAGTCAGAGAGATGAAAGTGCAGCACAGAGAACATAGTCAATAACACTGCAGTAACATTGTATGTGACTACACTTTTTGTGGTGACCACCGAGTTAACAGAATTGTTGAGTCAACAATGCTGTATACCTGAAACTAATATAAGCATTATACGTTAATTATACTTTAATTTTAAAAAAAAGTGAAGCCAGGGCTGAAGACCACGGTCATACACCATTATCAGGGAGAGAAGATGATAGAGAATAAAGGTAACTCTCTGCTGGTTCCAGCATTCTATTATGAAACAAATGTCAGATTTTAGTTTCTTTTTTTTTTTTTTAAGGTTTTATTTATTTATTTGACCAAGAGAGAGAGCACAAGTAGGCAGAGGGGCAGGCAGAGGGAGAGGGAGAAGCAGGCTCTCCACTGAGCTGAGAGCCCGATGTGGGGCTCGATCCCAGGATCCTGGGATCATAACCTGAGCTGAAGGCAGTCACTTAACCAACTGAGCCATCCAGGTGCCCCAGTTCTTTAAAATTTTTAAAACACACTAATGTTTAGTAAAGAAAATGTGAATGATGACAGTTATATACCATACCCTTTAAAAGAAAGAGGCATATCTCTTGAGCACAGATTAATTCCCTCCAAGTGCCTGATTACTTAACACTGAATTTCTTGGCATGTAAATTTCATTATACAAATAGATTTTTTTAAAAAATCACAAACCAGCATACATACATAGAAGCTGCTCGAGTACTTGACAATCGGAGATCCAGAGCAAGTTTTTCTTGATTTTCTTCAACATCAGATTCAGAGTTTTCCAATGAAGATTGTGCCTGCACAGCAGTTTTCAGGATATCAGTTAGCTCAGAGGACAGGGTAACACCATCTTCTTCTTCTTCCTAAAAAGATATCAAACAGATAAACAGGCCATGACACTCAACTTTTTAAGAAAGATATCAGTGAATGATTTAAGGATTACCTTGATTTCTTCAAAAAAATGGGCAGTTTCTCCTTCTATGATTGGTTGTAACATCTGACCCCTTCGCTTGGAAGATGGAGATCCCTGTAACAATCAACATGGTTTCTACTTTAAACATTTAAAGCATTCAAAGAAAGCTTCATTCTGTATGGAACAGATACTAAACTTTATATTCAAAATCTTAACCAAACAATTTATATTTTTTTAGGAATTCCTTAGTATATTCATTTTTGTGATGTCTTCTTGTTATGTATGCACACAAATGCTAAATTATCATTAATGTCTGGATAGCCTAAAAGATCTCATTCAATAAATAAAAAATAGGAAAGTATTACATGTAATTTTATTCGGAACATTTTCCTTTTTAAAGAGCCATCAATTTTTTTGGTCTCAGGACACCTTTAAACTCCGTTTAAAAAAGTAACAGCTTCACTGAGATATAATCCACATACCATTTAAATTCACTCCTTTTAAGTGTCACCACTTAACCACTAACACCAACTTAGTGGTTTTTAAATATTCACAAAGAACATTGTGAACATTTTTTTAAAAATCACCTCTAATCAAAATAGCTCATCGTCCCAAAAGAACTCTGTACTTACTAGTTATTAACTCATTTGCCCTCTCCCCCTATCCTGTCGCCAACACTTATCTACTCTTGTCTCAATGGGCTGGCCTATTCTAACTATTTCACATAAACGGAATCATAAAGCATGTGGCCTTCTGTATTTTGCTTCTCTCGCTTAGCATAATGTTTTTAAAATTTACCCATGCTGTAGCATGTTATTAGTACTTTCATTCCTTTATGGCTAATAATCCATTATATGGATATACCACATTTTGTTTATTCATCAGTTGCTGCACATTTCATTTTTTTCTACATTTTAGCCATTATGAAGGATGCTGCTATGAATATTTGTATGCAAGTTTTCATGTAGACATGTTTTCAATTCTCTCAAGCATATAACGAGGAGAACTGCTAGGTCAGATGATAACCCTGTTTAATTCTTTGAGGAAATGTCAAACTGTTTATCAAAGTGGGTGCACCATTTTACATTCACCAGCAGTGCATAATGTAAGCATTCCAATTTCTCCACATCCTGTCAACACTGTTATCTTTTCTCATTAAAGTTATCCTAGTTGGTATAAAGTGGCATCTGAATATGGATTTATTTGCATTTCCTAATAACTAATGATGTTGATCTTCTTTTCATGTATTTAATGGCCATTTATATATCTTCTCTGGAGAAATGTGTATCAAATTCTTTGCCCAATTTTTTTCAAAAATATTTTTTTAGAGAGAAAGCACAAGTGAGCAAGTGGAGGAGAGGCAGAGCGGGAGAGAGAATCCCGAAGCTAAGTGCAGAGCCTGAAGTGGGGTTCAATCCCAGGACTCTGAGATCATGACCTGAGCTGAAATCAAGAGTCAGGTGCTTAACCAACTGAGCCACCCAGCACCCCTCCCCCATTTTTAACTGGGTTATTAATCTTTTTATTATTGAACTGAAAGAGTTCTTTATATACTCTAGATACCAGTCCCTTATCAGATACATGATATGCAAACATTTTCTCCCATTCTATAAGCTGTCTTTCCACTTTCAAAAATGTCCTTTGATGCACAAAACTTTTTAATTTTGATGAGGTCCAATTTATTTATTTTTGTCAGTGTTTTTAGTGTCACATGCAAGAAAACACTGCCTAATTCAAGGTCACAAAGATTTATTCTTCTACTCCCCATTAGTTTTATAGCTTCAGTTCTTACATTTAGGTCAGTGAACCATTCTGAGTTAAATTTTGTGTCAGATAAAGGTCTACATTCATCTTTTGGGGGTATCAATATCCAACTGTACCAACCCCATTTGCTGAAAAAATTCTTTCCTACCAAACTGTCTTGGCTTAACTTTTATACCTCAAATTTCTCTGTATGATAATCATACTTAGGTATCTGTAAGATCTAGTCATACTTGCTATAGCTTCAGTTTATTAAAAACAAATCTGTGGAGTTCCAAAATTATTTTCATAAAATTCAAAGACTATTTGAATTTGAATTACGAATATGTCAATGAGACACAAAAATGCCTTGTAATCAAAGGATAAAATCCGTATTAAATAAATTGTCGTATGCGCAAAGACAATAACCTATACTGGATTCCTTGCTCAAAAAAAATTGATTATATGTAAATCAAATAGTGCTGAGATGACCAATTAAAAAAAGCCATTTTAAAAAGGAATGTTTATTTGAGGGTTAAATAAATAATGCTCAGAAGGCCAATGTGAACCTTCTAACAATGAGTAGTAGTAAGGTAGTCAAAGCCCAAAAGAAATCCCCATGCAAGTGGCTATTGATTTAAAAATGACCTTGCATGCCAGGGCACCTGGGTTGCTCAGTGGGTTAAAGCTTCTGCCTTCAGCTCAGGTCATGATCCCGGGGTCCTGGGATCAAGCCCCGCATCGGGCTCTCTGCTCAGCGGGGAGCCTGCTTCATCCTCTCTCTGTCTCTGCCTGCCTCTCTGCCTACTTGTCTGTCAAATAAGTAAATAAAATCTTTAAAAAAAAAAAAAATGGCCTTGGATGCCTAAGCAAAGCATAGTTCCAATAAATTAATTCCTACAAAATGGTTCAGAATGGGCTACATGCGGTTTTCTATTTGAGCCTGAGAGAAATCTAGAGTCCTACTACCTACTGGTTAATTTGGAGAAAGCACTTAATTTGCACCTAAGTATTAAGAGTTTTCATTTTTCTCTAACAATGTACACAAATGTAAAAAAGCATTATTTTTATACTTCTTCATTAAAAAAGATGAACTAAAAAAAATCATTTTATTAGATTGTGCAATTAAATCTTCATGACAGCCATCATAAAACTGATGTATTTTCAAACACAAGAATTTAAACTGAAACAAACTATGCCAGGGTCTGAAATATGTTTGTTTTTTTAATTCTACAAGGTAGATGACCCCGGGCATATCACTCCTCAGTCCCAGTTTCATCATCTGTGAATTGAGGCTATCTTCTGCTACCTATTGTGACTTGTCAGGATTTAATGACATCTTCTTCATTTAATGACATACATAAAACACTTTTACAAGTGCCTGGGAGATGGTAGGTAGGCACTGATTAATTGCCTATTCTTTTAAAAGCAGTAACCTCACCTTACAAATGCAATTCTTGCTACCTTAGCTGTATATTTTTCCAATACACCAACACAATGTATTTTTTAAAGGATAAGTTTTGGTAAAATGAACTAGACAAATCTTCGTGTGTTTTACTCACAAGAACAGGAGTGATGCTAACTCTTGTCAGCATCTGTTTTACAAGTCTGTATCTCTCATAGAGAGGTTTCACGATGTGCCTTTCTTCTCTGGTCACCTAAATTAAAAAATTAAAATTACCAAGTCATCAGAAATTTTAAACATTAAGCAACATGACTTTCTCCCAATTTTAAGAAGTTATTTTAAGTAAGTAGACAATCTCCTAAACGGAGGAAAGCAATGCTCTACAAAGCGCTCCGAAGATGTGGGCCACTAAAGAAATGTGTGCTCTTTGTTACGGTAGAAAATCAAATCTTTTTAGCAAAAGAGACATTTACCGGTCTTCCATGTTGACTTTCATAGTAAAGAAGACTTTTTTGGAGAGACGTTTTCTCTTCTATCAAATGATCTTTTGTCATTTTCTAGAATTTAAAAGAAAAAACAAAACAAAACAAAACACTCTCATTGGCACCATGATTATGTTCCTCAATCCCACAATGTAAAGAATTAGGGTGAAAGGGCAGCTCATTACCACTCCAGTGTAGGCTAACAAGAAATACAGCCTTTCCTTACAAATTTACAGACAGTAGTTTTCAATCTCTTGTAAAATCTGGTCTCCCAGTAAGCAGATATCCACTCTCTTTGGTGGCTTACTTCTATTTTATCTGAACAAATTATGAATACCAGCTTAGTAACCTTGGATAAGTTACTTAAATTCTTTTTGTCATATAAACCAGTATTTCTACTAAACAATTAAAATCTGACAGCAGTATAATGGAAAGATCCTGAAAAAGTACAACACTGCCAATGTGTGACCTAGACTTCTATGAGCTCAGTTTCCCTTCCTATGACACTTTCTTTACACTGCAATACTCACCTCCTACCTTTTAGTACTCTAAATTAAAGAGGAGGAAGGACATCCCAACTTTATTTGCCCAAAGAACCTTCCCACTTTGTTTCACTGGCCACCTTTTAACATCTCAATGAACCAATGTTCCACAGAATACCCTTTGGATTCTAGACCAGATAAACTCTCATTCCCAGGATTAGATAATACTGCCCTGTTTCTCAGCAGAGTAGAACAGAGGTTAAAAAATCACTGGATGATATCTTCCTATAACAAATATAACTTTAGATTATGTAAATCCAGTAGAGGACAGCTAGGGGTAAACTGTAAAACACTATGATTTCAACATCAAGCTTGCACCTTAAACCTAGGGCAAAGTATCTGAATAAAGCTAATCCAATCAAAATCATTTCTAGAAAAAGGGGTGGAGAGAGGGGAAAGGAGGTTGGTTGATCTGACACAAAACTGAAAAATAAAAAAGCTAAGGGAAGGGAGTGATCAAAATTTCTAATCCAGCCCTGTTCAAGGGAGACAAACAATCCAATATTTAAATCATGAAAGAGGTATACTCTGTTGTCAAGGCAGGAATGAGCATCAGGGTTCATCACTGCCTAGACAAAAGTTCACATGAGACCATCTCTGTACTCTCCCAGCAGACCTCATTTAATAAATAAATTGGGTTGCCAAATGGTTTTGACCAGGACTCCCCTAGGCATGGGCTCTGAGTAATGGTTTTTCAAAAATATTCATTTATTCAGTCCTCACAACAACCATACTGTCTTAGTATTTTAATGGACATAATCATATCCCTTAAGTCATTAGACAGTTGAAGGGACTCAGGGGCAGAATGCAAATAATATGAGTCAGAGCCTGGCAAAAGCTAACAGCACAATACCTGTAAGTATCAAGACACAAGGCCGAGATTCAAGCTCAGTTATGTTTAGGCTCTTTATACACTCATTTTGCCAACTGTCCCAGTAAAAATAAAGAGATCAGGATTCTAGCTTTTTCGGTTTTACATTTTTTTTTTTTTAAGATTTTATTTCTAAGTAATCTGTATACCCAATGTGGGGCTCAGAACTCCTAACACCAAGATCAAGAGTTGCATGCTCTACCAACTGAGCCAGCCAGGTGCCCCTTAGTTTTACTACTGTGATAAAAACATGTTGTTTACCTACAAACTTGGGGAGCACACTCAGGCCAGTAAGACTACCTACAATCTCTATGCCACTGGGGTCCTTCCTTTCAGGGATTCTAAAGGCTAGTCTGGGTAAAAAGCATAGCTCAAGATTACTTTGATATCTTCCGGAAGACACCGTTCAACACGTTTTTCTTTTAGTCTTTTCAGAATAAGTTCAAGTGTTGCTTCCTTAGATGGCTTCTTCTCCTTCTGAATGACCCTGGATTCATCTTCATTCTCTTCATCTTCATGGTACAGAGACGAGCCAAAGCTTTTTGGAAGAGTGTTACTACGTGGGCGTGTCTGAGGTACAAATTCTCCATCAGAGCTTTTGTGTTTTGCATCTACGTTTCAGAAGCAAGAGGACACACAGATCAGTAATAATGATTTTGTTAAAGATGCAAAGAGTAATAAGCAAGATATACAACAGGAAAGTAGACATTAACAGCACACAGGCTCCGGTATTTCAAGGTTACATGAAATACTGAAATTCTGTATGTGGCAAGCTATTCCATTCATTCTTTTAACGGTAATTCATAGAAAGCCTGACCATAAAGTGAGATTTTCTGGTAAGCATTGGTGGTACAGTAGTAAACAAACAGACATCGTCCCTGTTCTCATGGAGCATATATTCAAGGAAATAAAAACAAAAACCAAAAAACAAAATAATTTCAAAGAATGCCAAGTGCTATAAAGAAGAGAACACAGGATGTTGTCACAGTGCTAAAAGCAATGTACTTTAGGGAACAGCAACTATATTTAACGGACTGAAAAAGGACTTTTTGAGATAGGGACATCCTAGGTGAACATGGAAGAAATAGCAGCTAATGGAGCATAGAAGACTTAGGGGAAGAGCATTCCTCCCCAGCTGAAGCAATAGCCAGTCCAGAGGCCCTGAAGCATGGCATGTTTAAGAACAGAAAATGAGAGTGGAATGTGATAAAATGGACTAAGGGCACAGTAGGCAAGGAAATGAGGCAGCTAAGGATCTATATAACCTAAGACCTACATGATCACTACTTCTCTCCATTGTAAGGATTTATTCTAAGTTAAAAGGGAAGTTCATTGAGGGCTCTGATGACAGTTAAGAGAGTTTTTTAAAAGATAATTCTGGCTGCTACATAGAGAATGAACTGTGAGACAATAAAAGGGGAATAAAATTGGAAAATTAGTTAAGAGACTAATGCTTGTCAATTTAATACACCCATCGGTAACACATTCAAGGTAACGATTTTCACAGACAGTTGGAAATTGTCATTAAACAAGGAAATGCTGAATACAATTATAGGGGAAAATTCTAAAGAGGTAAGGAAACTTATTTTAACCCAAGGATGTGAACTCAATGACCACAGGGACAAATAACTGTCTTATCCAGCAACATAGACTCAGATGTCTACAAGTACTTGGTGCTTAATAATAGTAAAAATTTTGTTGAATAAATTCAAATGAATAGACCAAAATGTGATGCTCCACGTTATAAACCCATAGTTGGTACAGATAATTTTGTAAGTATTAACAAATACTAAAAAGCATGCTGATTAAACACCCATAAAGTAAATATAACTTAGCAGCTGCTATATTGGGCCAATACCCAGGAACACAGACCTAGTTTTTCTTTAAAGAAGACTTACAAATTTTAGTCTCTGTAGTATAAACAGTTTATTGTGACAGTCGTAAATACCTATCAAAAATTCTTAATGAAATACCTACCAAAATCAAAACTGCTTAATATTTGAACTGTTTTTCCAGATAAACTTTTTAATATCACCTATGAATATACAATCTAGGGCACTTTTCAAAAGACTAAGAGAAACACCAGAAAGGCATATATAAGAATAGAGTACTTCAACTTTGGCCATAACTAAAAGAAGAACAAAAGGAAACTTTTATTTTTGCCAAATAGTGTCTCAGATTTAAAAATCATCAAAAATTATAACCATAATTCTCATAGAATATAATTCTCACTATTAATTCATGTCACAGAATTATTCATACAATTTTCATGTAATAATGAGAATACTATAATAATGAGAATAAAAAATCTGTTTAAAGCAAACATATTATAAAAATGATATATTTTCTACCTTTAATTTGCTTCCGCAGTTTGGTAAGCTCTGTCATCCATTTTAATACCTTTGGATTGGCTGCAATATCACTGTAGGAGGGCTAAAAAATTAAGGAACATGGATACCTCTGTGGTAAGCGATAACTGTTAACTGATGCCCAAGTAATATATTACAGTTCCCACAGCAGACAATTCATTCAATCCTTATTTCATCTTACCTTATATGAAGTAGACAGAACAGAATATCAAGTAAAGCTCTCTCAGAGCAGAATCTAGCAACTGATGAAAGCCAGATTTGGAGATAAGTCTTCTGACTCAAAGTATAAGAGTTTTTCTACTTCATATGTTCCAATTATTAAATATCTGTCCCCCTCCCTCCCATGCCTTCCCTCTCCCATCACCCCTTGCTATTTGTGGTTTTTGAGGAAGCAGAAATAGCATTAACATGATTTGTTAATGTAAAGTATTTCCTTTAAAAATTATACAAGCTTTTTGCCAATTAAAATATAAAGATCCACTGGTAAGAATACTGGCCTGGAAATGAGGCAGCTAAGGATCTATATCATCTCAGATCTACATGATCACTATTTCTCTGCCACCTCAACTTCATTATCTAAGGGAAGAGATGGACTAACGCTCTCCAAAGAACCTCTTCCCAGTGCCAATTTATCTGCCAAACCCTGGACAATGCTATAAATTTACCTTGCTATTTCTTTCCCTTTCAAACTGTTCCTCAAATTGTCTAATTTTTTTCTGTAGTTTCTTGACCAAATGATACGGTGTTCTGTCTTCTCTTTTTTCATCTTTTGAACTGAAGGATGATCTTCGAATCCTGGATTAAAATAAGAGTGTTGGTTAAAATTTCAAGTTATTACAGATGGTAGCTAGATCTATGATGGGGTTCATTTCAATGTACAAAACTATCATATTACTATGATGTACACCTAAAACCAATTTTTTAAAATTTTGTTTTTTAGTTTTATCTATACCCATAGTGGGGCTTGAACCTACAACCCTGAGATCAAAGTCACCCACTCTACTGACTGAGCTAGAAAGGCACCCTGAAAGTAAGAGAATATTGTATGTCAATTATAAAAAAAAAAAAAAAGTTACCTGGTCAAAAAATTTTTTTCAAGTTATCAACACTATGACTCTTATCACCCTGATATAACATCACGCCATTTCCAAGAAGCAAATCTTTAAAGTAAAAATTAAAACTAAAGGACAGGTAGTGTTTAAAAAAAGAAAAAAAAAAAAACCCAAAACAAAACCTTACACTATAATTTTAGAGACCACACCATTAGCTAACACAAGTACTGCTGAAAACAATATATAACCCCTCAAAAGTTGTTTAGACAAAGGCAGAAATGAAACAAAGATGCCCAGCTTAGAATCTGTTTTGTATTCAAATTACAAAGGAAAGGGGCGCCTGGATGGCTGCTTGCCTTTGGGTCAGGTCATGATCCCAGGGTCCTGGGATCAAGCCCCACGTCAGGCTCCCCTGCTCTGAAGGGAGCCTGCTTCTCCCACTTCCATTCAACCTGCTTGTGTTCCCTCTCTTGCTGTCAAGTAAATAAAATCTTAAAAAAAAAAAAAAAATTGCAAAGGAAAGGTTTTGACATTCAGAATCAATTTAAAATCTTGACAATATAAACATGAGGAATTGGTGAGTTCCACTTGCTGCTTCCCTTCCAGAGTTCTGTATTTCAGTAATAGGTGAAAAAATGATTATGTATACTGTGTGGAAAGTCTAATAGAAAGCAAACCCCTACACCTCATGAACTCAGAATTTATGAGCCCCCACCAAAAAATTACAAAAACATTTTTCATGATAGAGGGAGAAAAGCTTTGAATTATAAGTCTGAAGGATTAAATCTTGCAAAGGATCTGGTGACATAAGAATTGCCTCTCATAAGTATATAAAAATAATGTACCTAGTAAAAGAAAGTGCCTTAGATGAGGAATCCAATGTTTCTGGATCATGTAGGAAACGCTGGCTTTGCCCAAAATCTAAACTACGATGTGATAATACTGGAGGACAGTCCTCTTCCAGGGGGTGATGATTCATTCTTCCAGCTTGTGGAGAGAGCTGAGCTTCTCCAGACTCAGAGTCTTCCTGCCAAGACTTAAAAGCAGGAAATGGCTCTGTAAAACAAACACAAAGAATGGTACCATGGGTCTCTTGGTTCTGCATGGAAAAAAAAGTCACACAACTATCAGATATGTTTTCTTTAAATCATATCATTATGTAGTGGCTCATATAATATTTACTATGTACTTTAAAAAAAAAAACAAGGGATACAGGATCTTCATAAAGCCTACTATAGTTTCTAATTTTCTGTGCTTTTTTTCTTTTGCTCAGAGTTCCATTTTCCCATAGAAGTTATACCTTAAATTTGTGAACCCAGTCACAAAGCAACAAAAGACACTGTCAAGCTCTTAAAGTTATATTAGATATTATTTTTCAAGTGCTGTTTTATAAACAATAAACACAAAACTGTCCTCAAGAGCTGCCAGGTGAATCACTCCCTGTCAAGCGACTATCTTAAAACTGGAAGGAAGCTATTCCCCACGCTACTCACAACACACCAAATGGAGCTCTCTGACCCCAAAAGAATTCTTAACATTTCCAAATGAGCAGCTTACTCACCTGACAGTACCCGGTCCCGAACATTAAATTGTATTTGGTATTTTCTATTACAGGATTTCTGTGTTCACTATATATCTGAGTAATTAAACACTCAACAGTGTTATCAGGACAAAATTTAACAGCACTAGATCTTAAGCACATTTATCTTACTGGAGCTATCCTGTATGTTCTCAAATGAACCCACGTCAATTTATTTGATGTCTGTGCCCATGTTAAAGTTTGATTACATACAGAACATATACAATCCACAAATATACTCCAAATACAAAAATACAAGTATCACTGGAATCCAAAAAGGGGAAATACTTTTCCATCTACATATTAACTTTATTTATAACTACAATTTAAAACTTTAATGTATGTGCCCGGCTAGCTCAATCGGTAGAGCATGAGACTCTTAAAACTTTGATGTATGACATCATATTAACAATAGCAAAAGTGAGTTTTTAAGTATTTTTGGATGCAAAGATGGTTTGACAGTGTCAAAAATCAAGACTGGTATTTTCTTTTTCTTCACACAATAGGAAAAGATTGCTACTTTAGAAATTTAAGTTTATATTAGCAATTGAAAGCACTACATAATTTTTCCAGGGTAGTAAGATAATTTAGTGAGTTTTTAAAGCCCCGATCAATCTGATAACTAAAAATTGGGTACAAAGCGTGCAATCCCACAATAAACCCAGCAATAAAGTGATTTTCAAAGCAACCCTTGTACCTGCTTCCCAGCAAATAACTGGTAATAAGCATTTTGTGAGAAATCACCTGTTTTAAGAGGGAAATAACAAAAACAATTATATCTGGGTATCATTTTTAACCCAGAACCGTTTTCCTAATATATGGGGACAGCAGGAGAAGGGCTCATAAAAAGGCAAACAAAGTGAACCATCAAAAGGCAAAAAAACTAAACTATGGTTAACCATACTTACCCTCCCCATCTCTCTGCAGATGCATTGTTTTGAAATCAATGAGGGGAAAAGTGATAGGGCATGACGCTAATAAAATGGAAAAAATGGCAAAAAATACTAAAGTGAACACACAGCACAGTCAGAACAAACCATACACATAACTAACACAAAGCCAAAGATACCAAAACATTTCCCTAAAACCAGTTAGGCATTCTGATCAAAAACTTTGTTCAAAGAAATTACTACTAACCAAACTTTAAAAACAAACACAAACATATATTTCCATTTCAGCAAGGCAAAAAAATCAAAGTAGTGCTGTTTTATTAAAACTCAAACATAAAACTGAAGAAATGGAAACTCTTAACCAAGTACTGTTTGAAACGTTTCAATTTAATTGATTTGACAGAAAAATACCTCCCTTAGTTTGCTCTTTGGAAAGATCCTACTTGCATTTCTTTCAAGAGTTTTAGCAGGAGAGAATCTGAAGGAAAGCTATTGTCTACTTGTATTAAAAGCCAAAAGCTTTTGACCAGCTGCTGCAAATTCATACCACTGGTGGCCATGTGCTACCTGCTTGGCAACTGTATCCTGCTGTCCGTCCCTTGAGCAATACAAAACACAAAACCCACGCACCAAGGAAGAGGGAGGTGGGCTTCCATTTGGAGTGACCCCACTTCTCTTTTAAGAGTCACATCAAACAAGGTAGATCTCTGATTCCAAGGTATCTAGGGTCTAAAATAATTTGGCCTCTTACAGAAGACTTTCATTAGAACATCCTAATTCCTAGATATAGAAAATCAAACTTTGTATATTGGTGGCAAATTGGAAGGAAAAATGTATTCTGCTAACTGCCACTCTTCTATAAGCACATGCAGGGTTCATGGCTGAGAAGTTCATTCAAATGTATACTACCACCAGTTCTCTGAAAGTCACTGACCCCTATTCCTATAAAAGTCAGCTCGAGGCCTATGTGGATCTGTCACAGCTGTTGAGCCAGGTTTGTAACAGGTGAGCTGAGGCACTGAAAATCAGAGGTCTATAGTTACTTTCTATCCATACCACAAGCTGTAAGGGGAGGATTCTGACAGGGAAACAGTGAGCCCAGCATTAAATTCACTTTAGGTAAGCCTCCAGAAAGCTGAAGCTAAACACAGAAAGTTTTATCTCCTCAGACAATGGAAAACAAGTGCTCTTCTATGCTTAAAACTTAAGATCAGAACGTCCAGGCCAAAGATTATGAAGGTCTATTTATCTGCGTCCTCCAAAACGGAGAAGCATCAGCCCTCTGTCAGAATCCCACCTCATCTCTCACAGAGACTCCTCTCCTACTATGGCTGGCTCCAGGGATGCTCTGATGACCACCACTTCTTTTCAGGGACCATGTCAAGATAAATAAATGAAAGGGACAGTTGACCTTTTCTGCCACCAGGATGTTAACATATCCCCTAATTCTGGGGAGCATCTTCATAAATTCCAAATATCCTAAATAACCCAGAACAAAGCAAAAGAAAGACAACTTCCTGATTTAATCTAAGTTAAGACACATAATATGCCACTAGGCATGCCAAACATCTAGAACCAAAAAAAAAAAAAAAAAAAAAAGGAAGGGGGGGGGCAAAAAAAAAAAAAAAAAAAAAAAAAAAAAAAAAAAGGGAAGGGGGTGGAGAGACAGCAATAAAGATTGGCACAGACAATGACTTGGCTGGGGCTTTAAAAAAAAAAATTGGCTATACCTTGAAAAATAAATAAATAAACTCCAGTTGTGATCAAATGAGCAGACTTGAGGTAGCAAAAGGAGCCTGTGGTACTAGCACTGCAATTCTTGTTACTACCACTGTACACCATTAGCTAACTTGCCAAGGATAAGATAACCGAGGGAACTTCATCCAAGTGCACAAATAAGTAACTTGGAAGATTCCCGAGTTGTCTCAATGTCTCCTTACCTAGCAAGGTGGTATGATACAGGACTCCTAAATTCAAATCTGTTGTTGACTTTCATCCCTCCACCCCCAACATTTGAAAGTTTATAAATATACAGTAAACCTGAAAAAATTTCACAGTGAACATTGATCAATACACCAATCATCTAGATATAACCATTAACATTTTACTGTATTTGCTTTGTAACATTTATCCATCCCATTAACCATCTTATTTTTTCATGGATTTCAAAGTAAACTGCAGGTAATAATATACTTCCCTATAAACCCTTCAGCATGCAAATCACTCACTGGAGTTTGATATTTATTTAGGTTTTGCATCTTTTGATTAAAAAAAGAAACAACTTATATACAATGAAATATAAGTGTTAAGTACACATTTGCTGAGTTTGGACAAATATATATATATATTTATATATATATTTTTATATATTTTTATATATATATATATATACACACACACACACACACACACAGGTGGCTTGCTTTTTGAATTTCAACTTTTTTCCTTTGTAAAAACTATTAGACTCTGTTCCCATGCTTATATAATCTATTACACAGATATAGGGATATGGTACAGTGTTTGCTTAGAAATGCCTTCAAAGATCATTCTGGGGTTAAAAAAAAAAAAAGGTTTCCTAATGATCATATAGGGAATGTAGTTACATATAATCCCTCTACTTAAAGTGGTAAGATCCCGAAGCCCTAACATATGAGATTTTCCAAGACTGGTTTAAACGTGGTTTAACAATTTACAAAAGCCTATCCTGGGGCATTTTATTTTTTTAATCAGTTCTAACTTCACCTTCAAAGCTAATGGATCAGCTAAGAACTTCTAGTTCGTATGACATAGTTGCCCTATAATCTCATTAGTGCATCTGAGTAAAAACACTCACTCACTCCTCTTACATGAGAGAACAGAAAGCCAAAATGAGTAAGGTTGTCCAGAAAAGAGCAATAGTCTCAATTTTGCTTTAGGTAATTTCAGTTACAAAAAACGGTATCAGGAAAATAACGTGTGGCTAAAATTACCTTCCCATTTATCACCATCAGAGACATTCTTCAGATCTAAATGTGGAATTTGGGTTCCACATGCTGCTTCCCCTTGAACACCAACACTCTGACCTCCTGGCACTTCTGATTCAGTGTTGGCATTCAAATCACATATCTTGCTACTAGAATCCTGTATTTTAAAATAAAGAATACATTTCACAACCACAAAGCTTTTCTCACTCAGCTTAAAAACAAGCAGCATATATCCTTGTATGGTCTCCATTACTGTACTATTGTGCCTATATATTCAGCTGTCCCACTCCCACCATCCAAACTATTTTCAAACACACATTTGCAGTTTTATACTATATACTACTGGTAGACAAAGTGTGGATCCCAAATTCAGGAAAATGTTTTTATAACCAAGTTACTGGTAACCAAAAGTGACAAATTAAGTCGCTGCTTAATTGTAAAATATCTGGCAAGAGATTCTATTTTTACATCTCCTTTAAACCTATTCAACCCAAGAGTTAAAGACCAGATACAATAATTGGTGGGTTAAACCCAGTCACATTTTAAGAACCATCAGAAAAAAATCTTACCAGAATCAAGTGTGACAATGTATCACTGTCAAATGACACATATTCTTTCCTAAAAATACAAGTACAGCTATTAGTGTTTTAAGAATAAGTAGGTTACTATCACTGCACATTTCTTACCTAGATTCTTCTCTTCCCCTTATAGTTAGCATTTATAATGTGAGAGAAGAAAATGACAACTGGACATATGCCCATTCTTTGGAGCCCTATGTCTGAAAATCACACACTACTGAAAAGATCCACAGAATTACTTCAGGTTTAGAAAATTTAAGTAACATTCTCCACCCTCCCACACAACCGTCCCCCCAACAAAGAAAAACATTTTAAAAGTAAAACTAAATCCACAGTAAATAGAAACCAAAAGGGTTGAATGTATAATGGAAAAGATTTTGTAAAGCAAATATTAGTTTTAACCAAATAGCTTTATTATCCCCCACTCTGGGACTTTCTTTTCTTTTAAAGATTTTTTTAAAGGTACAGTGATGGTCCTATATGTATTTTCTTTTATGGTCCTATATTTTAAATCTGATTATGTTCTATCACAATCAGAACAAGGTACTACTTCTAAACCTTTCCTTCCTCAAAACATAATGGTAAGATATAAAAAGGAAATTTCTAAAAATTTCAATTCACCTCTTATACCCCCCATAAAAATGAACCCCTATTTAGAACAAATATTAGAGCAAGCTGTCAAAAATGATCTCTCCCTATTTGACCAGTCAACAGAGCATCTGGCATTACAGTAGGTTAGCAATGTATCTATTGTGGGAAATTTCTTCTTCCCAAAGATATGGTGGCAATTTACAATGGTACACAGAGATGCTGCTTCTACCCTGCCTTAACAGTGTGTACCCAGAAGACAGGTCTTGATCTAACTAAGGCAAGTCTTCTCCTCACATGCGTAATTACCTTGTTCTTGCTGAGCATGAGAAATGAACTAAATTCCCTGGCAAGCTCAAAGGCCTTCCCTTGCTTAGAGTGGAAGCAAATGGTGGAATGAGCTACATTCTACCTTGAGGCTACAAAAGACCCAATCACCTAAATTTGAGAAACATGAGTGTTAAGCATGCAAAATGTAATCCATCTAACCAAGGAACTCTTTGGATCTAAAAACAAGTTTGCTAACCTATACACAAGTTGAAGAGGAAAGAGCTTTTCCAAAAAGATTGAGTCCTCACTAAATGGATCCTTATTGTTCTACCAAATCCAGATGTCATCATTCTGGGGATGCCTGTTTATCTTATATCTTCAGCCCATAGCTCCAATACTCCCTGGGCTGGAAGAGGATCATTCCTGCCTCCTGAAAGGAAGCACAAGGAACTGCTGTAAGCAGGATATCTGTGGACCTTCAGAGTATGGAGACACTCCAGAGACATGGCTCCAAAGAATTTACTTACCCTCAGAGAACAGGTTTCCTACTCACAATTAAGAGAGACAATGGCATTAACACAAGTCTACCCTCACCAACAAGCTATCCACCAAATCAGTAATGTTTGAGAATCCTCAGTATTTACAATCTAGTCTGCATCCACTGTAAATCTGTTTTCTGAATATCAAATTATCTTTCCTAAGAAAGTCATAATACACTGCTTGGCAATGTCTCAAAGAATCAGAAAAAGGGTAACAGGACCCAAAACCTACTCAATGACTTAAAATATTCTAGAAAGCTTCTGCTCAAAGGTACTGTATCTATCGAGCATCTATGGAGACTACATATGACTGAAATACTGATTGCCTCAGTACCTCCCTCCCATTTTTGCTGGCCAAGGAGGTTAAGGAAGCAGAAACTAAGGTAAGACTATACTGGGATACACCAAGAAGCAGCTGGAAAGGGAACAAAAATATCCTGTACAAATTTGGTAAAACAAATATGCTATAATCTTTCAGTTAGTTATCCACAGTTCTAAGACTATGAATTAACTCACTGAAAGGTGTATTCAGAATATCAATAAAGTCCCAATTGTTCTACAAATCAACTGAAAGTTTGGAGTGTCTCCAAGAAGGCTCTGTTCTTCCCTCCGAATGTTTTCCAAGTTATAACTATGTCTGTCTGAACGTGTAGCCCCTCTGAATATTCATGAATATGCTTTATGCTTACCATTAAACAAGGAACTGGTTTTTCAGATTATCAAAAATGTATAATAGATAAAGTCATCTAAAAATCTCACTCCCAAATCTGTGAAGGGCTCCAATTCTTAAAATGATTGAGTAATGAAAGAAAATGCTTACCCCTCAAGACAGCCATCTTCACTATCACCGTGGTCACTGCATGGCTCTAACAGTATACCTACAGACTGACAAAAAAGAACATAACTGCTGTATTAACGGAGCTCCCAACACTCATGTACGAGAAGAAGTTTCCAACCTAAATCACGGTATTAGATTACAAGTTAATCAAATGCCCCCTTTTAATTCTTCATAAGAGTCTACAGGTGTTGGCATCTCTTTTTAAAGATAGTAATTTATCTTTCTCAAAACCTGAGGCATATGCATGTGTGTGCATGTGTATTTAATGGAGATCTGCATACTCACTACACTATTAGGTAAGAAGTACTTACTGCTCATATTATCACATTCCTTTCCTGTCCTTAGAATTCTTTCCTCCAAAAAGGACAGCCATATGGTCCCACCTGCCAACTGCTCCTTCTGTTTCTTCTCAGCCACAAACAGGTTAAGTTGGTAACTTCCAAGCAGATAACAGAGGAATCATTTGATTCACCAGATCCCTTTATTATATACACTCGAAATAACAACTGTAAACCTCAGAAACACATACGAACACTCCCCCTATTTTCTAATGAGTCTAGTGACACCATCCCATCCCTATTCCTTCCCCAAACAAATACTTACTGAGTCTAATACAAATATCCCATGCATTACTACGAATTACATAAAATTCTCAATGTTTCTGATCATCACCTCTGAAATCGAGAGACAGCTAGATTCTTAAAAAACTACCACTTGTGGGGCGCCTGGGTGGCTCAGTGGGTTAAGCTGCTGCCTTCGGCTCAGGTCATGATCTCAGGGTCCTGGGATCGAGTCCCACGTCGGGCTCTCTGCTCAGCAGGGAGCCTGCTTCCCTCTCTCTCTCTCTCTCTGCCTGCCTCTCTGCCTACTTGTGATCTCTCTCTGTCAAATAAATAAATAAAATCTTTAAAAAAAAAAAAAACAAAAACTACCACTTGTCCAGTTTTAATATGAAAGACACTTCATAACTATCTGGAAAAAGCTATTAAATTCTCCCTCTGCCAACTATATATCTCCGTGAGGCTGACTTGTCTTCATGTACTTCAAACAAAAGAACTTATAGTAATAGACTGAATGCAGAAGCAGGTATGAGAAACCAACTTAACTTTTATTAAGACAGACAAGCAGTAACAATATTTGTAAATATGTAAAACAATACCATTCCTCAAAGCACAAAGTGTTTTATATAACTTTTTATTAATTAAAAAAATATTTACAGTACTTTGAGTGAATTTAATAAACATTCTCTAATTTTTCAATTTTAATTTCTAATGTGGTAAATACTGATAAATATACCTATGTAAATAAAACCTTTCTGGGATACTCAATATCTTTTAAGAGTATCAAGAGGTCTTGAGACTCAAATTGTGAGAACCACTGATCTACACATCAGACTTCAGCAACCTTTCTGTTTAGAAGATAACTTTAAATTCTTAAATATGGGCCCATGAAATAATCATTACTAGATCCAATATTTAAAATAAGTCTTCATGTTTTATTCAAAGAACCGGGTTCAAGTCCCAGCTCTACCTTTCCTTCACAAATAAGAGTATAACAATCACTTAACTTGCCTATGTTACACTTACTATGAGAGAATCAAATAGCTTAGAAGAAAAACTTATAAAATTCTATTATAAAAGCATACTATTACATCACCAACTTTAACCTACAATTCAATATACTATGAAAAAAATGAAATACATCTAAAGACTGAATGTAATACCCACATGCTTTTTAGCCAGATTTAAGCAACATAATTTTTAAATTTTTATTTATTATTAGAGAGAGAGAGAGCACACGCATGCAAGCACAAGTGGGAGAGGGAAGGGCAACAGGAGAGAGAGATAGATGCCCCACTCAGAAGGGAGCCTGATGCAGGGTTTGATCCCACAACCCTGAGATCACGACCTGAGCTGAAGGCAGACTGCTTAACCAACTGAACCACCCGGGTGCCTCTGGGCAACGTAATTCTTAAAACGAATACAGAAAAGTAGTTTAAAAAAAAAATTGGAGGCAACATAAAAGATGCTGCAACAGAAAACAAAGCTGATACACTGATACTCCAGCAGTGAAGAAGGAGATGAGATGCAGAATAAGAAGGAGAGTTATCTCCTACATTACTCCCCAATAGAAAAAAACAAAATAATAAGAGGTATTAGGGTCAGGTTAAAGTATATCCAGACTTCAATGTAACAAAGAAACATACTTTTTTGAGAAACTACGTTTTATTTCCTCAGAATTCACTCTATACAAAACTTTCATTCCTTTGTATATGGGGGAAAAGAGCTTGTTTTTTCTAAATCAGCTAGCAAAACAGTCCATATTCTTCCCACCTTCTCTTTCCCAAAACCATCAGGGTCCTCATAAGAAAAGTCTGAGGAGGAGGAGGAGGCGGAGTCAAGATGGCGGAGGAGGAGTAGCAGGCTGAGATGTTAGCAGGAGTTCAGCCAGAGAGTTATCAAAACATTCCAAACACCTATAAACCCAACATGAGATCGAAGAGAAGAAGAGCAGCAATTCTAGAAACAGAAAATCTACCACTTTATGAAAGGTAGGACCTGTGGAGAAGTGAATCCAAAGTAACAAGAAGATAGACCGTAGGGGAAGGGGTTGGCTCCCAGCAAGCAGCAGAGCAACGGAGCACAGAATCAGAACTTTTACAAGTCTGCTCTACTGAGGCACATCACTCCAAAGGCTAAGCAGGGGTGGAGCCCTCGTGGGGACAGCATGGTCACAGAAGGATCAGGGGTGTCTGAGGGTAGCAGAGCTCTCAGGTATTAGAGCAGGGAAGCCGGCTAGCATGGACCCCACAAGTGGCAGATGCGGGGAAACCACCCTGCCCCCCCCCCCAAGAGCGGCAGGAATCTGCTGGGTTTGGAGACTCCAAAGGGGGCTATGTGCCAATGACAGAAACACTCAGTAACAGGCCGGGTTAGCTCAGAGTGCAGCCGGACACCAGGGAAACAGGAGTGACTGAGCGCTTTTCTCTGAGGGAGCGCTGAGGAGTGGGGCCCCAAGCTCTCGGCTCCCCCAGGCCAGAGATTGGGAGGCCGCCATCTTCATCCCAGTCCTCCAGAGCTCTACAGAAAGCGTTCAGGGAACAAAAGCCCCTGGCAAGGGTGGTGCAATTCCGCCTCGGGCAAAGACACTTGAGAATCACTATAACAGGCCCCTCCCTCAGATGATCAGCAAAAAAATCCAGACCAAGCTCTTTGATCAAGGAGAACAGCGGAATTCCAGAGGAGGGGAAAGCAAAGCATAGAATTCATGGCTTTCTCCCCATGATTCTTTAGTCTTGCAAAGTTAATTAAATTTTTTAATTTTATTTTTTTCTTATTCTAATTTTTTAAACTTTTACTTTCCTCTTTTAACATTTTTTAACTAGTTTATCTAAAATTACCTTTCTGTTAAAAAAAATCTTCTTGAACCTTTATTATTATAATCATATTTTATCCTTCATTGTATCTATCTTTTGTATACATACAGGGTTTTTTCTTATAAAAAATTTTGGGATACAACTTCTTTTTTTTAAAGATTTTATTTATTTATTTATTTATTTATTTATTTGACAGAGAGAGAGAGAGAGAGAGAGAGAGACGGAGATCACAAGCAGGCAGAGAGGCAGGCAGAGGCAGAGAGAGAAGCAGGCTCCCCACTGAGCAAGGAGCCTGATGGGGGCTCGATCCCAGGACCCTGAGATCATGACCTGAGCTGAAGGCAGCAGCTTAACCCACTGAGCCACCCAGGCGCCCTGTGGGATACAACTTCTAATAGATCAAAATATACCCTAAATCTAGCACAGGGTTTGTTCTAGCACAGCCTGAGCAAATTCTTTCCACTTTCTTTTTCTTTCTTTTCCCAACCAATTATCAACTCCTTTTTTTAGAATGTTTTTTAAATTTTCATCAATACAGTCATATTCCATCTCTTCATCGTGTTTACCCTTATTTTTGTATATATATGTGTGTATGTCTGTGTGTGTATATATATATATATGTATGTGTGTGTGTGTGTGTGTTTTTCTTTCTTTAAAATTTTGGGAGGTTTCTTCTAAGAGATCAAAAATACTCCCAAAAATCAAGAGGGTGGCTCTTTTCTATTCACCAGTCTAATACATATTTTTTCTTTTTCTTTTTCTTTTTGAACTACTTTAACCCCCTTTCTTCAACCCACAATTTGGGGTCTCTTCTGATTTGATTAACGCACATTTCACTGGGGTCTCTGTCACCCTTTTAGTATTTTATTCTCTCGTTCATATATTCTTATCTGGATAAAATAACAAGGCAGAAAAACTCACCACAAAAAAAAAAAAAAAAAAAAAAAAAAAAAAACCCCAAGAGGCAGTACCCAAAGGCTAGGGACCTAATCAATACGGACATTGGTAATATGTCAGATCTAGAGTTCAGAATGACGACTGTCAAGGTGCTAACTGGGCTCAAAAAAGGCATGGAAGATGTTAGAGAAACCCTGTCTGGAGAAATAAAAGCCCTTTCTGGAGAAATAAAAGAACTAAAATCTAACCAAGCTGAAATAAAAAAAGCTATTAATGAGGTGCAATCAAAATGGAGGCTCTTACTGCTAGGATAAATGAGGCAGAAGAGAGAGTTACTGATATAGAAGACCAAATGACAGAGAATAAAGAAGTTGAGCAAAAGAGAAACAACTGCTGGACCACAAGGGGAGAATTCAAGAGGTAAATGATACCATAAGACAAAATAATATTAGAATAATTGGGATTCCAGAAGAAGAAAGGGGGGGGGCAGAAGGTATATTGGAGCAAATTATTGTAGAGAATTTCCCTAACATGACAAAGGGAACAAGCATCAAAATCCAGGAGGTGCAGAGAACCCCCCTCAAAATCAATAAAAATGGGTCCACATCCCGTCATCTAATAGTAAAACTTACAAGTCTTAATGACAAAGAGAAAATCCTGAAAGAAGCCTGGGACAAGAAGTCTAAACATACGATAAAAATATTAGATTGGCAGCAAACTTATTCACAGAGACCTGGCAAGCCAGAAAGAGCTGGCATGATATATTCAGAGCAC